AATAATAATAATAATAATAACTTTATTTAATTAAGCGCAACAATTCCAACATATGAAGATCAAAGGCGCTGATACAATAAACAATCAGTCAAATATTAAAAGCACATTTAAATAAGTGCGTTTTCAGTCTGGATTTAAAAATGTCTACTGAAGGACTAGAACGAACAGACAGAGGTAATTCATTAAAAAGTTTAGGACCTAAATTTTCAAAAGCACGGTCTTTGTATAACACCTTGGACTTTTTACTACACACCTGACGAGTTTTAATAAGAAACTTTGATTCAGATCTTAAACTACGACTAGGTACATAAAATTCGATTAATTCACATAGATAATTTGGGGCAAAACCATACAAAGATTTATACACTAGTAAAAGTAATTTGAAATTGATTCTTTGTACAACTGGTAACCAATGAAGTTTAATAAAAATGTCTGTAATGTGGTCATATTTTCGAGCACGAGTGACAAGGCGGGCTGCTGCATTTTGTACACGAATAAGAGGTTTTATCTTAGTTACAGGGAGACCAGACAATAATGAATTACAGCTGTCTAAGCGAGAAGATATGAATGCATGTACCAACTTTTCAGTATCAGATTGGGATAATGATTTACGAATACGATTAATATTTCTTAGATGGGAATATCCAGATCTACAAATAGTAGAAATGTGTGTTTCCATAGATAGCTGCGAATCAAACAGACACCTAAGTTTCTAGCACTTGACGAAGCACTAACCAATTCTTCACCAATTGCGATACTAGACAAAGGACACGAGTCTTGTGAGATCTCCGAGACGACATGCACACAAATTCAGTTTTCGACACATTCAAAGTAGGAAATTACAAGACATCCAATCGCTAACGTCTTGAATACATGTCTGAAGTATCACCCGGGCGCGAATTTGATCATCTTCAGAAACCGATAAATAAATCTGTGTGTCATCGGCGTAAAAATGATATTTTACGTCGTGACGTCGCAATAACTCGCCCAATGGACGCATGTACATTGAGAACAATAATGGCCCTAAGACGGAGCCCTGTGGAACACCGGTTTCTAATATAGACGTCATATCAGAAAATACATTTCCAATTTTCACTTTTTGAATGCGGTTACTCAAATACGACTCAAACCATTTGATGATGAGACCATTTAAACCAAAATTTGATCTCAACCTATCGATGAGAATCCTGTGATTCACAGTATCAAAAGCGGCTGAAAGATCCAAAAGTACGAGAGCAACTGAATTCTTAGAATTATCAATACTGCATAGTACATCGTTAGCGACCCGCAAAAGAGCCGTTTCAGTGCTATGTGCGGTCCGATACGCTGATTGAAACTCTTCATACAACGAATAATTCTCTAAATGTTGTTTCACTCTGGATGCAACGACACGTTCAAGGACTTTAGATATAAAAGACAAATTAGAAATCGGTCGATAATTTTTCAGCATGTTTGAATCCAACGATGCTTTCTTGAGTAGAGGTTTAATCAACGCACATTTCATTTTCTCAGGAACACTTCCAGTGCGAAGTGATTCATTTATGATATCTGTTATAGGTGAAAGCAGGATAGGAAGGATCTTTTCATCTTTTAATATATTAGTGGGTAAACAGTCCAAATTGCACGAAGCCGACGACGATTTTTTTTATAATTTTAATTATTTCATCCTCCGTGGCTGGTTCAAAACATTTCATTCATCACCAGAGAACTTGTGCAGTTCGTTAAAACGGTTTCCATTCAATAAATTTAGATTTAGTCCTTGATTGATTTTCTTAATCTTATCCACGAAAAACATGCTAAAACGATTCGCTAAATTTATTTTGTTATCGTGAATCGGCAACGCATTCAAATTATTTGTCGAGCCTAGAAGACCATTTACGATGGAAAACAGTTTTCTATGGTCACCATTACAATCCGCGATCTTATCAGCGAAATAACTCCTACGTGATACATCAATAAGAGAAATTGATGAAAACAAAATTCCAATCATTTCTTTTGTTATTGTGGTAGAAATCTGGCTCTTTAGGTCAAATGCAAGGTACACAGCTAAGTATAAAGCACAAAAACTAGAGTCTGTGTCTCCTCAATCTCAAGTTCAGCTGAATGTATCATTGAAAAATAATCACCAAAAGTAGTGTAGGACTGGGGATGAAACGCAGATCATCAATATACCTGAATTTGAAATTGAATGATTTTGATTTTTGCTTTTAACTAATTTCTTTGGAAATTCAACTTTACATGAATAAAAATACAAGTCTGCCAGCAAAAACCGCGTAATTTTCTTCCATTCACAAACTCTACAAATACGTTATCAATGAGAAATTCTAGCATACTGACAAGGCGTAGAACTGCTTCCAATCAATGCTGTTAACAATGATAGAATCTTTTCTAACCACTATGTAATTGTAACGATTAGAACAAATATAAATATATAAATGCTCAGCTCAGTGTTACTGCTAACATAATTATCAACGTTGCTACTAAGGCATTAGTTTTTTTCAGTAAGTAAATCACGTGACCAAGTTCATTGATTTATAATGTATTGTCGTGGAGCTACAAGTTCATAACATTCAGGTGCAGCCAACGAGCAATAAATTGAAATGGTCAATTCTCTGGGACAATATTTATTTTATGGGCCTTTTGAAGTATGCTAATTAATATAAAGGAAAGAGGGGAAATTAAAAGCTGTTCATAACCTATCCTCCACCTGAAAAAAAATCGTCTTCCCCTACTGCTGACCAAATTCATCTTTCCCCTGCCCTCATTAAAACAAAAAAAACACTTTTTTGCCTACTTCCCTGCCGCCAACTTGCCTTTCTTGCTCTCCTGCTGACCATATCTTTCCCTCACCTCAAAAAAAAAATACTTTTTTGCCTACTCCCCAACCGCCAACTTGCCCTTTTTGCTCTCCTGCTGACCAAATTCATCTTTCCCCTCCTCGCATTTTAGTTTGTGTGTTACAGTACCGTAGATAATATTCGTAATATATTTATTTTATTTTTAATGTCCCTGCCCTGTGGTAAAAGCGTTATAATAAAATAAAAAAACCACCACCTTAAGCAAGTTAATTTTTACTGACAAGTCCCGGCGATGAGTCGCACGATAGATGATATCTCATCAAGTGTCTGATCAGTGATACGTTCTGCTTTGTAAGATTTAAAAAAATAATATTCGTATTAAATATACACACAAACTACATACTGCGCCATTATATCTATATTTAAATTTCTTGCCGATTTGACACGTATTAGATAAATTGAGAAAGTCGTAAGTTATCAATAGCAGCGTGCGCGTCCGCGGACTCACCGCGTATCAGACTTCTCGTTCGCGAACATTATTTGAGGTGTTCGTAGCTGACGGTCGAGTGCCAAAAAAAAAACACATCATCATTATTTTAGTTGGAAATAGTATGTAATTTTTATGCGACTGTTTTGAAAAATCTTTATGAATACAGAAATAAACAATATTTTCATGAACATATTGAAAATGTTGCTTGATCGAGCCTATTGTTTGAGTTCTCGGACCCTGACGCCGGCTGTACAAAACATTGTTTAAAATCAGAGTCACCCGGGTTGGTTGTTAACAACGCATCAGTAGCTGCAGTATTGTGAGGGTATATCGTTGTTTTAGTGCCGGTAAGCTTATTTCACCCGTCATCGAACTAACTTTAAATATGCACAGAACGACAGCTATGCATCTTGTGACAGCGATGCATCACGAGTGACCGCACAACAGCAATATTAAAGTTTCAGCATTTCACAGCAAACATTCGATAATGAGCCCAGATTAGTGAGTTATGTTTTTTAGTGATTGAACATGATGTGTACCTTTTTTTGTGTGTAAAAGACAGACATGCATGATAATGCGAAGAAGAGCATGGTAAACGTACG